TCTGTGACACAGTCAGGGGCCTCAAGTTTTAAGTTCTGGGGCAGCCTCATAGGCCATTGCTTTCAGTTCCAGTGAAATCATGGAATGATTATTATGCATCAGGCATTTGTAATATGTTAATGCAATCTCCAGAGAATAAAGCTAGTAAACAAAAAATTAATTTAATTATAAAACTGCCCCTCCAAAAAAAAAAGGACAAACTTTTAATTTAGTACTTTTTGTTTGGAAGGTATATATACAACAAGTAGACTGGAAAATGTTAAATGTTCTCTGGCATTTGTAGGGGGAAAGCCATCTGATATAAATTAGTCTCCTGCATGTGAATAAGGAATGTTACAAGATCCTTTCCGCCAGTGACCGACACCTGAGCCATAGCCTATCTACTTGTGGCCTCTAGGAAATAGAATTTCTGCAGCACTATATTGACAGATTGTGGTTAATATTTAACCTAAATTTGTAGTCAGAATCTAATATTTGCACTATGATAAATAGGTAATAGATAAATAATTGGATACATAATAGTAGATAGGTAGATGGACAGATGGATAGATAGTTGATAGATAGATGATAGATAGATGATAGGTGATAGATAGAATAGATAGATGATAGGTAGATGATAGATAGATGATAGATGATAGATGATGATAGATAGATAGATAGATAGATAGATAGATAGATAGATAGATAGATAGATAGATGATAGATAGATAGATGATAGATGATGATAGATAGATAGATAGATAGATAGATAGATAGATGATTGATAGATAGATAGATAGATAGATAGATAGAAAGATAGATGATAGNNNGATTCTGTGCTTCTCTCCTAACAGGGAACATTGGAGAGGAACCGAGGTTTCACCGAACTTGTTAAGATTTACTACAGATAACCTTCACATTAGAACTGGACAGAAAGGGATGTTAGTGAGGATGATATTGGTGATAACCGTAATGACAGTGACTAACATTTATCCAGGCCTTATTTTATAGCTGGTACTGTGCTAAGTTTTTTGACTGTATCATCTTACTTTATCCTTTTAACAATCCCGTTGTTCCTCTGCATATGGAGAAATTGTAGTGGAAAGCGATGAAGTATTTGCTCAAGTTTCTGTAGCTGGTAGGTGCTGGAACTGAGGCTAGAAAAAAGGCAAGCATTACTTCAGAGCCTTTCTTTTTACTTTGTGCATCTGGAGATCCAAGGGGACTTACAGTCACCTATCCAGCCTCCCATCGGCCCTTTATCCCAGCTCCCCCACCGACCAGCACATGTTTTATGGCCGACCCTCCTCCACTGCTACCAGTGTATGCAGTGAACTTCTTTGAACATATTTTTGCCCTAATTCCCAGAATTGTTCAAACATGAGTCAGACTAGTTATTTCCAACTATTCTTTCTAACCAGACCACAGCATGTTTGTCTAGGTGTTTTAGACTAATTCAGATAGCTATGGTGGTCTGTTTGAAATAATTATGATTGTTGTTTGCCAGGTGTGGCCGCTATGGTGGTACACACACAAATTCTTTTGCAGAGGCATGATCAAGTAATATCAGTAAAAGCAAACTGCTCTGATTGGCCCTCCGTACCTCCAACTCCACCCCCACAGTTGAACACCAGTGGGCTGGAACAGTGACTCGAAACCTTGTTTGATCACATTTCCCTACTTGTTAGAAAGGTTCTAGCTACACTACCAAGGTGTGTGTATTTCTTGATTTACAAATGATTTAACAATCGTAACTACTATTGAATGCTAACTATATGCCAGGCTCTGTTCTAAAAGTTTTATAAGTGTTGACTTACAACACTTCATAGCAGCTCTATAAAGTAGGTATTATTATTATTAACACTATTGAAAGATGAGGAAATAGGGACATTAAGTGGCACATAATTTGCCCTGGGTCACTTAACAAGCAGATGACTGAGCCAAGCTTGCACCCAGGAGGTCTGACTTCAGAGTCCATGCTCTTATGGACTATGGATATCACAGCTGCCTCTATGTGTGTTGCTCTACTAATGTAGTACATTCTTTATGGGATATATGAAAACTAGAAATTGTAAGAAATTGAGATACACATTGGTAATAATTGATTGGATAAATGAATAAGATATTTCTCTGAGGTGAGCAATGTAGGGATTTCAAGGCCCCTGACAAGTCAATGGAAGAAATAACAGGACCAGGAAGCTTTTCTTAGTCACATTCGGAGGTAAAATTACCTTAAAACCTACTGCATGTTTCCCACCTAGTGTGCAGCAGAAAGTTCAACTAAACCAAGTTTCTGGTACAACTGACAATAGGAATTATGCAAGTCCAAAATAACCTCCCTTTTGCTCAATAAATCATTTGTCTTCCAGATAAGCTTTGACTTCACCTGGTCACTGGATTTAGAGTCCTTAGGTCTTACCAAACAATGGGAAACACTAGAGCACACACAGCGTGACTGACTTGATGTTTGGAGCCAAGGTTGCTGTTTGAAACAATGATGGTCACTCAACACCAGGTCAAAAGTTTTTGTCTCAGAGGTTTTCAGGGGCTGCACCTGGTTGAAAGGGGGCGCTGACAGCTCCAGGGCTTGTTGAAAGCTACCTTTGGGTGCATTTTCCATAAGACTGACCCACAACCTGTTTCCCGCCTCTAAACCTGGAGGAGCTGATGGAGAGGAAGGCGCCCTTGACCACTGAGCATGACAGAAATTCTGAATACTCTGAATACTGATGAAATTATACCATAGAAAAGAATTTTTATCTTCAACATACATCAGCATGGCATATTTTAGATTTGCCACAGTTGTAGCTGCTTTTAAGCCCAATTACAAGTGCCCACTTTTTCACTTACGCAGAACATACACAACCTGGAAATTTAGAATCTTTTATTGTTTAAGGTGTCACTGTGCAAAGATGGATCCCTTTTAAGCTCCAGAGTCCATAGGGGACAGATATTTAAGTAAGATGAGCAGGAGACAATGGAATTGATGAGCTGCAGGAACAAGAAGGAAGCTGAGTCGGGCTTTGTTAAACTAATCTTATGTCTGGTGAGGATGACATGTCAGATATTTCATTCATTTAAAATGCCAAACCATTTCCATAAATCATTTTTACAGTGTTAAATGCATTATAGAGGTGCAAGACCGGTATCTAGTGTGCTTAAATGTGTCAGGCACATTCTTTCGCTTCTCTGCATGCTGTTTGTCATTTCATTTGCCAAAGATGTATTTATCAGATTATTTCTTACGGGCTGACCCCTGTTTTAGTTTTGCTCATGGAATCTCGTTTCTTGGTGCCGCTGTGCTTATTTGCTCCTTCCTTGCACATGCAGATTCAACCCATGTGCATATCATGCGAGTTCCTCTCCTTTCTTGCACCAAAAGCAAAAGGAATCTCTTTTGTAATAATGTTTGTCAAAGAGAAATACATTTGTCAGTGAGAGAGAAAAAATACCCAGAATGTATTTGGGGCTATTTAGCATAAAACTTCCACTTGAAAGAGCTTGATTGTGTAAGATAATGTATTCTGCTTCAGCATGGTTAAGGCTGAGTTTCCTTACTGTGTGAATGCTACTCTGTTCTCTTTTCTTCCCTCACTCCCCACCCTGTTCAACAGCAGACAAACCCGGGGAGCACTGAATGAATCCGATGATCCCGAAACAGGCTGTCTTTCCGATAACAAGCCGACTTCTCGACACTTCTATCCTGTCGCCTTGCTGCTTGTCAGCTCACACCTGCTAGTCGTGTGGCTTATTTTAAGTCTCGCATTACTATTAGCCAAATACCAATAAGTTTTACGTTGTGTTCCTTTCTTTTCTACAAATGACAATGGACTTTAAATCATGGGGACAATGCTGTAATATTTCTACATTTTAAGATTCAGAGAATTTAAAACAAGCAGATGTTTGAATTGTAAGTGTTTTCTTTGTTTTTTTCCCTAAAATCTAAAAGATGAAGTACTATGCATTACGTGAATTATTTTGCTTTTTTGTTCATGGAGACGTGTTTCCCACTGTTCGCTAGCTCGAGAAGAGTTTTTAAATCACTGTCTTGGGAATAAGACAAAGAACAGAATCCTGAAAGCTTGAAGGTCTGCACCTCCGCTTCCTCTCCCCGTTACATTTATTAGAGAAACTAAGACTGAATTTGCACAACACACTGAGACTCTGAGACAAGCCCCAGACCTGTGGGAGGTTCCAGACTTTATTTCCACTGTGCTAAAATCGCGTTGCCGTCAGCTGGTAGAACCTTCTGTTTGATTTCTTAACCTGTTCGTTCTGTCGTTTCTTTGCTGCAATTAACCCCTTTCTGTCAAGTAACTCTATGGAGAGAATGGCTATTTCTGTTTTGTAATTAAATGACCCTGTTTGTAACTATGGTTTGGGTTGATTTGGCTTTGAGTACTTTTCTATCCTTTTTAACAAGGTCTGTTTGTGTCTCGATGCCCCGTTTCCCGCCCGTGACTTTGTACTGTGTGCACAAGCCCCCTTCCTCTAGAAAGCGAAGACTTGGACCAGGCGGTTTAGAAGCCATTTTTCTCTTCGTTGCACAGCTAAAATAATGAAGTAAAATAGAGATTGAACTTTCCTTTAAAAATCTATAGGGCCAGACTTAATAAATTAAATGCCTTATTCCTAGAACCTGTATCCTTAGGGCTACATAATAGATTTTAATGTGTTTTCAAGAAATTAATTTGTGGGAGAGTTATAAAAAGGCAGATATATTTATGAAATTAAAGTGAAGCTATATCGTGGAGCAAATTATATTTAAAGAGTTTATTGAACCTTAAATATCTGTTAAGAGCAAAGAGACTTTAATCATCTCTTTCCGAGGGCAATAATGGTATTGGGCCTGGCCTAGGATTTAATTTTGTAAGATGTATCATCATTTGTGGAAAAAAAAAAAATGTAGAGTTGACTCTTTGTTATTTTTACTTGGACTGTTGCTGCAACTCTGCATTGAACAAATAAAGCATATTTATTTATTCTGTTTCATGAAGTTGTACTTTCTCCCCTTTTACCAGAGAAGGATGCCGCATAGAGAATGTACTGAAGAATATCAAATGCAGAAAGTATGCTTTCAACATGCTGCAGCTGATGGCTTTCCCCAAGTACTACCGGCCTCCAGAGGGGACTTACGGAAAAGCCGACACCTAAGTTTACCAACATGTAAATAAACAGGAACACAAATACGCTTCAGTTGGATACTCTCTACCTTTTCTTTTCTTTTTTTATTGTTGTGTGAATTTGTGGAGGGAGATAATAAGGGATGTTTGCCCCAACCTAGGAATTACTTGAATCAGTTATTAGCATATGACTCTGAAAGAAATTATTTTAAAAGATCTTACGTAATATTGTCATTTCTAGTTCTAAGCTTCTATGTGTTGCCTCTTGCTGGTTGAGATCAGCTTGGAACATGTAACTTTCATTCGTGGATATTTTAATGAAAGACGATCTGAGAAAACTGGTGCCGTGAAGGACTAGAGGTGATTCAGAGAGCGGTGCTCGCTTGCATTTACAGTGAAGCTGGGAGAGTGTGAAAGGGAGAGGGACTTTGTGATAGGATTTCACAGCTTTCCTCACACATACTCTTAGAGCCCATTCCTGAGGTTTAAAAACTATTTTCCTAGTGAGTTGAAATTAGGTAAACTCATGATCTTGACTACAGAACAATTTACAGGTTTGCCTGTAAAGATTTAGGCATCCAGTCGAGATGTGACTACTCCTTCTAAACAACTTGATAAACAGTGTTAGTAAAGCAGTAAAAGTACTTTTCAAAAACATGGTATCTTTTCAAAGCTCTGGCTTGGGTTATATGGCCCTGTTGTAAAAGCAGCCCTAGAAAAAGTTTAACAGGATATTAGGCAAAACACTGCAAGGAACAGAACTGCCAGGAAACTAAAGATGGTCAACCTGTTGATGTCCAAAGTGAAAATCCCCATCAGCCTGAACTGTATGAGATCAAGGTCATGACAGTCAAGAAAATGCCTTTGAGATGTTTTCCAGCTGTCATTTTGGTACAGAATATAGATGGTGTAAGTATGCATTGCCTGGAATAGAATAGTATATGTGAATAAACCTTCTAAAATATATGCAATCATAACTAATGATAAACCAAAATAATTACAGTGGTGCCTCGGTTTTCAAACGTCTCCGTTGACAAAAATTTCGGGTTACAAACGCCGCACACCCAGAAGGAAATACTTCGGTTTTCAAACACACCTCGGTCGTCAAACATGCCCCACAGCTTCTGCTGAGGCCAAGGTCCTGAGGCCTAGCAGTTGGCTTTGGATCCTTTGGTTTTCAAACCTTTCAGAGCCCAAACGGTCTTCCAGAGCAGATCACATTCGAAACCCGAGGGACCACTGTATTTTTGTTAACTTGAATTTCAAATTCGTCTTTACTCAGTAAAATAACACCATGAATTGTCTAAAATTTTAAATTAGAAGCCACCTTAGAGATTATCTTGTGTAACACCTTCGTAAATGGGTAAATTACAGCACAGGGAAGATATGCCCCCAATGACCGAACTGGATAATTTTAGAACCATGATTACAACCTCCTCTTACCTTCTTTCCCTGTGACTTATCTCTTCTCCAGATTGCCATGCCAAATATACATGAAAATGACAGGAGAGTGCTAGTTAGTAAAATAGAATTTCACATTTATTACTGGAATTAAAACTTATATTACAACACTCTGAACAAATGAAACCTATTTTCTCCAAATTTTAAGAATTTATTATTTTCCCTTTCTCATCAGAGGAGCATGCCATGGAGAGCATAAATCACCCACAGAAATGCCAGAGGCTTGTTACATAGACATCCCTTAGCTATGCCCACATTCAGCGGTTGATATTATGGGGCTTCCACAGTGAATGTGCTAGCTCTAAGACAGGTGTTAAAATGAGGATTCCAAACACATCTCTAGGTTCATGGGTTTTTCAAGTTAATACAAATTTTAGATAACCCTTTGGGGCTTTTAATACTAGAATTATCCATCTATTATTTCAGTTAATGACTGTGGGCATTATATTTGAGGCAGTTGTCAAACTCCTTAGAGGCTTTTTAATAAACAGAGGCTGTGTGCTGTGGATCTATCCATGGATAAAGTTATCTCGGTGGTCTTTTCAACACCTCATTCTCCATTTCAGTGATTAAAACTAATCTTTGACTTGTTCAGTTTCATTTGAAAATGGTAGGATTTGTGGTTAATTTCATCGTCCCCTTGGGTTTAAGGTAAAAAGGTTGGGAAGAGAAGGGTTTCTTTGAATAACTATGAATCCTCCTTCAGTAGTCAAGTGGTAGCATGAGTACTAAGAGACTTATGTGCCATCTTGTAAACGCCCTTATAAACAAGAATTTTTGTTTGCCTTTGACTCAAATGTGGAAAAACTTTTTAACTAGAAAGCCGACAATAGGGTGTGTTTTTATTTTTATTTTGGGAAGACATTTCAAAGATTTTTTTCTTTTATAATAAGTAGTAATATAGATGCCTCAAAGGGTAGAGATTACTGTGCTACAAATGCATATGAGCTTTTGTTTATTATTAACAAAGTCATCTGCATTTCTCTACAGGAAACCAATATTTGTACATACTTTTAAACATGGATTTCATCAAGGAAATTCATGTTCCATATCGACAACAATATTGCCCCTTTTCTACGGTACAGTCCAAGTATCCTTGGAAAACCACTTCAATATTTCTTAAATTTTTAAGGCTTCCTAAATCAAAGAGCCAAGGTTAAAGAAAAAATTTTTAAATCTCCTTTGTATAGACACAGTCTCGGTCATGCTTTTTTATCTACATTTTCATTTAAAAGATACATAAACCAGCAGGCTGATTTTAGGAGATCATCTCAAGCCAGAAAATGAACCAAGAAAATGACATTTCCAAACAAGATAACTTTTTTGCTCAAAAATATTTCCCCTCTAATACCAAGTGTAGATATCAATTCCGTATTCGCTGTTGACAGGGTCCTACAGAAAACCTACTTAAAAACAAGGGAAGGTGAAATCCTGATCATGTTTGATCTAGTGACAAAAGATATAGGGCCTAGAAATGTTCCACAGCGCAGCTGATCCAGAAGGTGTGAAGTATTTGTTTGAAGCAGTCCCACCCTTAGGGGCACCCATGCATTTATTTCTCCTGTGGTGGCTGTTTTTTCTTGTAAATATTGCCATGAGTGTGTCTACAGTCTGACAAAACAATCCTTTGATGTGAATGTTTTGGTCAGTTCAGTAATCTGGTGAGTCAGAGCGATCCTTTGATGCAGCTGACAGATTTACTAAAATGACCAAATGCCCAGTGACAGCAGTAAGCCACAGACCCAACCTCTAGCACTTACTTAAAAGAGTAACAGCTTTTCCTCTGAAAACTGTGAGGTCTTAAAAGCTAGCATCTGCATGGAGGACACTTCCCTTTTTCCCCTCAACTAAAACGGCATTTTACATAAAATAAGACTCAAGGTGGAAAAGAAAAAGATTTTTATAGACTGATGATTTTCTTACCAAGCAAATCAAACCCTTCCCTATGTAAAGTTTGACATGTGCCAAGAAGAGGTCGTACCAGTGGCATGCTGAAACTGGCTCGTGCTGGCTCGTGACAGTTGATCATTAAATGTTCAGAAATGTTATAAGTTAACTGTTAAACACAACCATCATTAAATATTAAATTATAAAACACAATGGAATAACTTTTATGATAAATGAAGGTAAAGTAAAAACTACCAATTTCTAATTATTTTACTACATTTTTCAATTTATCTCTACTCTTGAGGTTTATGTCAACTGTGTCTGTACAGTCAAAATGCTATATTATAGAGCAACTGTGCATCCTNGTTTATGTCGACTGTGTCTGTACAGTCAAAATGCTATATTATAGAGCAACTGTGCATCCTGGATCCACATTCGGTAACATCCACATTGAAATTGACCACGGTGGGAGTATTTACACCACACAAATATTCAAATGCTACAAATCATGGCCTTTAATTCTTGGAAATCCAGTTGTTAAATATTTACTGGCACACAACTGAATGCTCCCATCACTTTTTGTCCAGAAAATAAATAATTGGAACCAGTATAAAATTATTAAAATGGTATTAAATGCAATCACTCATCTTCAGATGGCTGCCTTTTTGTTTTTGTTTTTAACCTCTCTGGAGACTCTGATTAGGCTATCGGTAACCTTTGATGTTTGTATTTTATTCATAATTAAATTATTTAGTCATAGAGATGTGTTTAAAAATGTATCTCTGTGCTGTTTGGCAAGGGAAATGTTGGCAATGCAGCTTCAGCATGAGCAATAACAACTCCAGGCTAAATTCAGGGAAGTGGTAGCCTAATTAGAGTATCAGTGAAAATGTGCTTCAGTACCAGTTTGTAAGTTTATAATTTTAGAGTTTGCTAAACACAGGAAAAAATAGTAACATATTACTGTGCCCAGATTCTAATAAATACTGCTCAACTGAAGCCCAAACTGTTAAACGAATTAAACTCTGGCACTATGCTAAGGAACCACAGATGTTTTAGGTGTTTGATTTCCAAATAGGGTGCCTTATGTAATCTTGTAGGAAATCTATTAACTCGTATCACAGATTTAAGAAACTGGTCTGAGACAAATTGTGGTCAGCAATTATGAAGGGAAGCAAACTTACTGAACCCAAGTTGTCCTTAAGAGCTGACGACTTGACAAATTATGCTCTACTGAGGAGAATGATTCACTGAGAATTGCGTCATCGATTGAAATTTTTAATGTGAATTCACCTTCATTTAGCCCAGCTACGATCTACAAAACCTGTGCTTTCCCCCCCATATTTATGTTTCCTTGCTATATAAAGAAAGTTCCAACATATTCTATCTTTTGTTTCTTTGGCAGTTTTAACTAAGAACTTTCCAAAGGGATGCCACCTATAGCAAAATTTCAGAACATGAAAATAAAATTAATATTTTAGATAAAATATTGCAAACCCATTAGGGGCAGAGTTAAGGCATGGAAATTTGGATTTTTACTTTCTGAGTCTTAGTGCACATGAAGCCCTCTTTGAATTTTATTTCTAGGCAAGTAAGAGAAAGTCTAAATTATTTCTGATGTCAAAGAAACAAGTCATATCTGGCTACTAGTAACAAAGAAGTAGGAAAACATTGTAAGGTAATAATAACCAAAAAAAGTACATGCAGTCAGCTCCCCTGAGCTTGAATTTTTATAGATTACATGAATATTTAGAATTTTACATTAAAAACTGTAAACAAGGCTCACAGTTAAGTAGAATGCCGAGAGAGAGTGAATATTAAGGGAGAGAAGACCTATACAAGTGATGTTGCCTGATAAACTGTATC